CATGGACATGGAAATGCCCTGGGGATATTTAACTATTCTTTAAATGTCCCCCTTAACTTGAAAACCTTATTAGGGTCGCTGTAAGCATAGAGCACACACACGTATATACATCTGACCATCAGGTGTTATAAACAGAAAATCAGAACACTCCCCAGGAACTGACTGTACGGATGCTTCCCCGAATTAATGGGCTGAGAGGACTGGATTACATTTGGCGATAGGTAATCTTGGTCAAATCACTTTAAAAACTACCTATTTGGAAAACATCATACCTGCAAGCTCAGCTAATTAGCCTATCTGTCAAATGTCCACCATCTTAAATGTTTTAAATGCTTTGAATATTTTTAAATGTTTTCTTTTGATGTTTTCAGTTTATTGTTTACTTGTATTTTGTTATTTCTATTTTTTGTTATATTAAATGGCACTTGATGGAATTTATATGCTGTAAACCACCCAGAGTGGCCTCGGCCAAATGGGTGGTATAAAAATGAAATAAATAATAATAATAATACAATCCATGAACAGGGACATGGATGTTTGACCCTCTTGATGTAGCTAGACTATAATTCCCATCATCCCCCATTGGTTATGGCTGATGGGGATTGTCATTCCATAGCATGTGGAGGGGCACAAAAATTGCCTACCCTAGGCCAGGAACCAATAGGCAGCTTCTTTTGCTTTTCAGCAACATATGAAACATCCTTAGGTCTCTTTTCTTGGACTGCATTGTGGATGTGGCCCTTCATAATCTAGTGTCTTTGCCTGCCAACCTTCCTTTTGCATTTTTTTTTGCAAGGTTGCTAAGTGGCAGGTAACATTTGCACTTTGATGAAACCAAGCTGAGCTGCTGTCCTATCAGTTGCAGAAGAAATAAACACAATAATTTCGGCAATTTTTTTAAAAAAATGCCCAGAATGTTTTCCCAAGCATTTTGGAGACAAGAACATGATGTGATAATGAGAAGAATAATTTAACAGGACGTGAACAACTCAACACCTAGTCAGCCTTGACAGCCACGAATCCTTGACAGAGAGAAGTTGTGACTCAAGTGTATTCATACTCAATGAGCCCACAACTCCTGAATGTGTCACTCTCTAAAGTTCATGGGAAACGGCAGACATGTCATCGCAGTGCAGAAAAACACAGAGCAGACAAAAAATGTTGCATAATGACCTTAACAGTTAGGTAATGGAATGCAAAACATTATTTTATCCCCCTATAGCCATTATTATCTTTCCCTTTCTAGCCCATCCTGTCCTTGAGGCAGAAAACAATGGCTTTTGACCCTTCACATGACTGCAAAATAGAACGAAATACTCAGTCCAAAATCATGTCAGTTTTCTTCAGCGTGCAACGAACACTATATGTATCATTATCAATAACACTCAGCAGACAGTCCTTTTGTTGTTGTTACTGGATGTCATCTGCAAGGCACACACAAACTTGCACAGAGTTTTGCTTCTCCCACACACACACACTTCTTCTGCATCTGTGAATATGTATACCTGGTAAAGGAGTACAAACTTTGCACCTGATGAAGTGGATACCAGTCCGCTGAAAGCTGAGTTATATGGGAAGCTGCCATACTAAATCAAAGCACTGCATGATCTAAATGGCAGCAGCATTCCAGATTTCTGGGCAGGATTCTTTCCCAGACCTAGCTGGAGATGTCAAGCTTGAACCCGGACTCCCTGCACGTAAACAGATGCTCTCTCTACCACTGAGCTATTCTCAGTCTTTGAACAGGATCTAGAGAACAATTAAGCATAGTGTTCCTCTGCCTGCCTTTCAGGCAGGTCAGACTACAACTCCTATCATCCTCAGCCCATACAGCCAGAGGATTCAGTAAATTATTAGCAGCCAGGGTCTCTGTAGTAGTAGCCCACTAAAATTGTGTTGTAGGCCTTTTCTGTAAACTGGTGCCACAATTCTTGCTTGACCATTAAAAAAACCTGAATTGTTTTGAACTTACAGCTACAAGATGATGCTTTCTGAACCCAGGACTTGGGAAAGTTGTTTTTACAAAGACAGAGGCTATGCCAGTTGGAAATAGCATCATTCCTGGCCTTCAAAAATGATAACCCCAGAAAGTAACTTTGCCATGTTCTTTTTGCAACATCTTCTGATAGTGATAATAGCAGCATTAAACTGGAGAGAGTATAGATCAGCTAATCGTCCCAAAGGAGAACCTTGTAGTACAAACCAAATCTCCACCTAGTGCAATAATGCAGGACTTAGTGGCCCTCCAGATACTGTTGGTTTTAGCTCTCACCAGCCTTAGGGAGCAGCACCCATGGCAAAGAATGCTGCAAGTTATCCAGTACACATGGGAAGCAAAACATTGCTCGTCCTGATTTCATGCAACCGCTCGCTATGCGTATTGATAAAACAGACATAAAAGCCCACCAGCAAACATATCAGCAACAGGGCTCCCCTGCTGTTCCTCATCAGCCACTGGTAGTCAATGGCACATCGTATCTTGGGTTTCATACAACCAGACAATGACTCCACAGGATGTTGCCCTGGGGCCCCACAATCTAGAAGGCATCCAAATAAAAATGGTGCATCTTTGGGATGGACCTGCCCTCCCCCAGTGAGCTCCCAGGCCCCATTGGTGGCAGACGCTGGAGCACAAGCTGGCTGGAATTCTTTTTCAGAATCTCAGAATCTCCCAGCCAGCAAGTCTAGTGGCTATACCGGCTCAGAGATTTGGGGAGCTGTATTCCAAACAAGGAATTTTGTCCAGCTCTCGGATAGAAGCTGATTGAATACCATATGATTTCAGTGTCACCCTATGAGTGATTATAACAGACTTCCTAAGCTATGCATTCACGGAATTTCTCCATCACAACTATTGTTTTTCAGATCAGGAGAGTTGTATTCTTGTGTCATGTGCACACATCCTTTTACCAGAGACTGATCTGGACTTACTTCTCTAAATTCATTTCAGGAACCATGTTTCACAAGGAGGGGGTGGGAATCAATTACCAGCAATGTCTATTGTTTTTGAGAGCAGCGTAGCATTGCTTTAGCGTTGAAAACGGAACGAAAATCCTATCAATTTCAATAAACTGTCATGTCTGTCATCTGACTAACCCAGACATCAATTTTGAGGCTCTAGCGCTATCATATATTACAATCCTGGGCGACAAGAAGTAACAGGAAAATAGTTCATCCAATATCATGTTCATTGCCAGAAGAACACGATACTGTGCTTTAATGCGAATGAAAATATTTTGTCATGCGATGTGCTTTGCAGCAAGTTTGCACGCTGACAACATCAAATCGACAGCGATATCCAGGGTGGTGTGGCTCCTTCTTCTCGTTTGCTATATTTTTAACTCAAATTCTTTGCTTATAAATAGCATTTTTATTTTAAGTGGGAAACTCTGCATACTCATGAAAATCTGTGTTAAATTATTAACACTTGAAGAACTGGAATTCTAGTACAAAACAGATCTGGCCCTTGTTCCATCATCCTCTTTGCATCAGGGTCTTGGTGTGATCAACTCCCCCACCCATTACTCTGCTGACAGGAAAACATTTGCACCCAGGTACTCAAGTAAGAAGCTGATCCATTTTTACTTCCAAGCAAGGCTGCACCCTGATATGACAGCTGGTCTCAGAGAATGCAGTGGTTCTGTGCAAACATGCATGATTTTTACACATTTTGGGTTTTGAATTTTAGGCTCATTTATCAATCCTGTGTATCCCATGTCAGAAGCACATCCAAATGGGTTCAGTGTGATTCAGTTCAAAGTAAATGGGTCTAACATTACAGGATTGCAGCCTTGTAGGGATTGCAAGTGTTAATGCAATTTGCAAATAAACCTTTGAGAAGCTTCGCACTGTATGGTTCAAGGTTAATTATATTTATCAGGGAGCAAGCAGCAGCAAGAGTGTCAAGTGCCTGAAAAGAGCACTGGGGGAGGGGAAGCATGCGCACATCTGCATGTGCTCTCACATACGTGTGTGTGTGTGTGTGTGCACATCTGTAACATTCTCCATATACCAGAGTTTGAACTTATTAACAAAGTCACTTGAAGGGACAGTGTTCAGCCAGATTGTTTTTATTTGGTGGAAAAATTAATATGCTCTTAAATGTTACTGAAAATGCTACCGGGGGTGTGTGGGGCGGGCGGGAATTAGGTGAAGCACGTAAGCCTTTGGGAGGTAAAACTCAGAAAGAGAAAATGCCAGGCACAGAATGTATCCAAATTTTGCAAAGCATAACTTGGGTTAATTCGTGTGAAACAGAAAATGATGGAATTTGGGATAAAAACTCCAGCATCTTCTTTTAGAAACTGCTTTTAAAGATCTGAACAGTATATTCATTTAAATTTCCAAAACTTCAGTAAGGGTAAGAAGGGCTTTAAACACATCATGGAAGGAAGGAAGGAAGGAAGGAAGGAAGGAAGGAAGG